CGATCCCCAGTGGGGGTCATGCAGGAGGCAGCCGATTGATGATTCTCTCTCATCATTGATGTTTCTATTTCTCTTTCCCTCCCCTTTCCTCTCTGAAATCAATAAAAATATATTTTTAAAAAAGAATCAACCGATGAAGGCATAAATAAGTGGAACCACAATCAATGTTCCTCTCTCCCTCAGAGTCAAGTTTGAAAAAGGGCCAGGGGAACACACTACGTCACTACCCATCGCGGGAGCCGTTCTAAAACGCAACGGACGACGTTAAGATGCACATTTCCTCTCCCAGGGGATTCGGCGTAGCTCCTACGTGATGAAATGCTCAGCTTGGTGCTGCCCCGGCTCCCACGCGGGGGAAATGGAGACACCAGGGCAGGGCCGCTGCTGGGAGTCAGACCCAAGTAGGACCGTCCGTCAGCCGGCGACCCTGGCGCGTCATCTCCTCCTCCAGGCCTCGTGTCTCACCCGTGCAAAGGCAGGAACAGCGCCTCCCTCCTTGTGGGCGCGGGGACAACGGGAAGTGAGGCGTGGAAAGTGCTCAGAACATGCCTGACCCCGTTAACACGCACAGTGACCACAGCTGCAGGTCGCTAGCTGCGGTGCCCGCTGCTATGGGCTCCACGCGGCCTGGCCTTCAGCGCCCACGTGAGACGGACGAGGAGAGGGAGGCTTGGGAGAGGACGTTTGCTGGTCCAAGCCCGGGGCCCAGGCCGCACAGGCTGCACTGCCTCAGACCTGCCCCGGGGCTGGGGCGAGGGTGGTAATGGATTGGCGCTCTCCCACTGTGGAAAGTTCTTGGTTCTCTGCCCAGGCCCCTGGAGGACCTGGATGTTAAAGGAAGCGAAGTCCCGAACCCGGCGTTCTTCACACTGCACCCGAAGGCCCAGGCGCACAGGCACCGGCCGACCCCCTCTCCTGCGGGGGGCGCACCCCCTCCCCACCAGGAGGGCGGGCTGGGGAAGGAACCGCTGCTGCTGGATCTGTGCGGGCCCTCAGCACCAGCCAGCTCGCTCTCCGCTTCTCCTCCCCATGGATCTGTGGGCCCTTCACCCCCTGCCCCAGCGAATCCTTCAGACGGTTGTCCCTGCTGGACCGTCCTCTGCCCTCATCCCGTGTGGGGAGGAGGGCGGGGTGTGGCCCTCCGAATGGAATGCGCTCCCTGGGCTGTCTGTTCACAGGAGGCCTCCCTGCCCAGGCCGCCTTATCCCTGCCTGCAGGGGGCTCGCCCAGGCGCACAGCTCACAGCGGGGGCAGCAAGGGGGGCTTCCACCCCGGCCCCCCCGAACCTGTGCACTTTAACACCCCGGCCCAGACTGAGCCTGTGCACTTCAACACCCCGGCCCCCCCGAACCTGTCACTTCAACACCCCGGCCCAGACCGAGCCTGTCCACTCCTGGCCAGCCTGAGCTTGACCGAATCCGTGCACCATCTATACTAATATTTACCGAATAGCTTTCTTCAATAAAAAAGTCCCTTTTTTATTTAAACAAATTAGTTTTAAAAGGAAGCTGTTGATCATCCCTGGAAATGGAACAGTTATGTCAATAGCGGTCACTTGCCCACATTAAAAAGGTAACTATAAGAACAAATGCATAAAATGTTATCAAGTTTTCCCAGCATTTTGTTATTGAAAATTTCAAACAATGTTGAGTTTTGCAGTAAACACCCATACATCCAGCACTTCGATTCTGCCATAGACTTTTTTTTAATGTATATTTTTATTGATTTCAGAGAGAAAGGGAGAGGGGGAGAGAGAGATAGAAACATCGATGATTAAGAATCACTGATCAGCTGCCTCCTGCTGGGAATCCAGCCAGCAACCCCGGCATGTGCCCTGACTGGGAATCGAACCAGCAACCTTTCAGGGCACGGATGCCCAACCAACTGAGCCTCACCGGACAGTGCCTGCCACTAACTTTTTAATGCTGTTTGATCGATCACACATCTGTCTGTCTTTCCATCCCTCTCCACCCATAAAAGCATCTACTTTTTTATGTATTTCAGAGAAAATTACAGACATCAGAACACCTCCCCTAAATACTTCAGAATGCAAATTATTAACTAGACTTTGATATTTATTTAAAGCTTTTTGTCTCTTGCTATAAAATATACATGCAATAAAATGCACAAATCTTTTTGTTGTTGTTCATTCTCAAAATGTTTTCCATTAAATTTTAGAGAGGGGGCCGGGGAGAGGGAGTGAGCGAGAGAGAGAAACATTGATGTGAGGGAGACACATTGATGGGCTGCCTTCTGCACATGCCCTGACCGGGGCTGGGATTGACCCGCAACCCAGGTATGTGCCCTTGATCAAAAATTGAACCTGCAACCCTTTGGTGGGAAGGACGACACTCTAGCCACCGAGAAACACGGGCCAGGGCTAAAATGCACAAATTGTAAGTACGCATTTGCTGAATTTATAAAAAAGCGCACTTTTAACAACCAAACTCCTATCAAGATACAGAAATCACCGTCGCCCTAGAAAGCCCCCCCGCACCCCCCAGGCCACCCTAGCTCTGACTTCCCCGCCACGGAAGAGCCCGCTCGCGGACTGCATGTAGCTGGACTCGCTGCGTGTGCACTGTTCCGTGCGCGCCTGCTTCCGCTCAGCAAATGTTTCTGAGATTCCTGTGTGTCAGCGCACCATCGGCGTTTAGCGTTCATTCCATCGTCTGACTCTACCACGTTCAGTCCGGCCATTCTCCTATCACGGACGCCTCCGCGCTTTCCCGTATTGGGCTATTATGAATGAAGATTCCACAAACAAGTCTTTTTGTGTGAACAAATGCTTTTCTTTCTCTCGGTAAGTATCTAGCCCAGGGGTGGGCAAACTTTTTGACTCGAGGGCCACAATGGGTTCTTAAACTGGACCGGAGGCCGGAACAAAAACATGGATGGAGTGTTTGTGTAAACTAATATAAATTCAAAGTAAACATCATTACATAAAAGGGTACGGTCTTTTTTTTTTTTTTTTTTTAGTTTTATTCATTTCAAACGGGCCGGATCCGGTCCGCGGGCCGTAGTTTGCCCACAGCTGATCTAGACATAGAGTTGCTGGGTCGTAGGTAGGTATATGTCTAGTTTAAAAGCAACTGCCACTGGATAGAACCTGTGGGACTGAAGGGTCCCGGGTTCAATTCCAGTCAAGGGCACGTACCTTGGTTGCAGGTCCTGGTCTCACATGGATGTTTCTGTCTGTCTTTTCCTCTTTTCCACTCTCTCTAAAAATCAATGGAAAATATACGTGGACGAGGATTAACAAACAAACAAAAAAGCAACTGCCAGAACTTCTTCCACAGCAGATGCGCTATTTCACATCCCACCACCAGTGCCTGGCAGAGCCAGTCGGCCCTGGACCTGGTCAGCATTTGGTGCTGCCAGTCCTTCAAACGTCGGCCTGTCTGGTGGGCAGGGACCGGCGCCTTGCTGTGGTTTTAACTTGCATTCCCCTGACGATTAATGATGTGAAGTACTTTTTTCACATGCTTACTGGCCATTCATGTATCTTCTTTTGCACGGTGTCTGTTTAAGTCTTTTATCCATTTTATTTATTTTTATTTATTTTTTTTATTGATTTCAGAGAGGAAGGGAAAGGAAGAGCGAGAGAGAAACAATGATGAGAGGAAATCATTGATTGGCTGCCTCCTGCACGCCCCCTACTAAGGACCGAGCCCACAACCTGGGACCCTTGAGTCCGCAGGCCGACGCTCTATCCGCTGAGCCAAACCGGCCAGGGCCTTCTATCCATTTTAAAATTTGGTTGTTGTCATCTTATTATTGAATTGTACGTGTACTTTATTTATCCTGCATACCAGTCGGTGGCCAGAGAAACGTTTGCAAATATTTCCCCCCGGCCTGTGGCTTGCATATTCATTCTCCCAGCAGTGTCTTTGATGAAGTTCAATGTATCAGGCCTGACTGGGAATCTAATCGTGACCTCCTGGTTCACAGGTCGACGCTCAGCCACGGAGCCACACTGGCTGGGCCGTTCAAACATGTTGAGGGGCCTCAGTACTCCGCCAATAGTGCACGAGGGTCCCTTTCTCCACACCCTGCAGCCCTGAGCGCGTGTCTTTTGATAACAGACGTGCTGACAGTGAGAGGGGATATCTCATGGTGGTTTTGTTTGCATTTCCCTGATGATCAGAAGCGTGGAGCACCTTTTCATGTGCCCGTTGGCCATCTGTATTATAAAAACCGCCCTAACCGGTTTGGCTCAGTGGATAGAGCGTCGGCCTGCGGACTGAAGGGTCCCGGGTTCGATTCTGGTCAAGGGCATGTACCTTGGTTGCGGGCACATCCCCAGTAGGGAGTGTGCAGGAGGCAGCTGATCAATGTTTCTCTCTCATTGATGTTTCTAACTCTCTGTCCCTCTCCCTTCCTCTCTGTAAAAAAAAATCAATAAAATATATTTTAAAAAAAATAATAAAATAAAATATATTATAAAAACCCAGTGGCCCTAACGCCATAACGACCAAGGACCGGTGCAGGAGGGCGGGGCTGTGAGCGTGGTGAGCCGTGCGATTTTGCGCACTGAGCTTCTAGTTTGTATATATTCTTTGGGAAACTGTCTATGAATGTCCTTTGCCCGTTTTTAAGCTGGGTTATTTGCCTTTGGGAGTTGTACGGGTTCCTTATACACTGGATGCTAATCCCTTTTCCGATACGCGGTTTGCAAACCTTTCTCTCCTCCGTCCATAGGTCACCTTCCTGTTCTGTTGGGCGTTTCCTTTGCTGGGCAGAAGCCGTGCGTCTGAGGTCGTCCCCTTGCATGACATTTGCTTCTGTTGCTTGTGCTTTTTTTGGGGTCATAGTCACAAAATCATTGCCAAGATCCATGTGAAGGCGCGAATTCCCTGTGTTTTCCTCTAGGAATTTTGCGGTTTTAGGTCTTACATCTGTAGTTCAGCGACAGGTACTTAACGACCAGGCCGCGGCTTCCTTGCCACTACCATCCTCTTAACGTTTCGGCAGGCCCCTCGTCCATCTGCTTCCCCTAAGACGCAATGTGATGCTTGATTTTTAAAAAAAACAAAACTTTATTTCAGATATAATTAATATTTCCATAATTTAGGATAAGCAGACACACTTCCTTGAGTCCTCTATTTTAGGTAATTGTGATTTCCATGAGTAGAGTTAGTATCATTTGAGTATTTGCCTACATGCTTGTTGGAAGCTTCTGTAGCCTTTTCTTGGTAGGAATTCCAGTTTTTCTGAATTCTCCCCTTTCCTTCAGGTATCCCATTGTACATTCTTCATAAAAAGCAGGATCAGAATAGCACTTGCCACAGCATGGATGGACCTGGAGAGCACCACGCTCAGCGAAACAAGCCAGTCGGAGAAAGATAAATATCACAGGATCTCACTCCTATGTGGGATACAATGATCCACATAAACTGACGAACAAAAATGGATCCAGAGACAAGGTGGCACTGAGCAGACCGTCCAACGAAGAGGTTAGACGTTCTTTTAATGCAGAATTTTCTTTCCGGCATTTTACTACCATAAGCATTCCAGACTCCTTGCAACATTTGGTAAAATCTTGAACTTGTTCAGAACCTCTCTCTCTCGGGCCTTTTCTCTCATTATTTTAGGGATCAAACATCTTTTTCCACATGTCTGAGATGCTGCTCTGCCGGGTCGAGCGCCATCTCGGCGACGGAGGAACCGTGATGCTTGATTTCATGCGTCACCCTGACTGAGCCACGAGCACTCAGATAGGCGGTCCGTCACCCTCCGCATGTCTCTGTGAGGGCGTTTTCGGGGCGAGATTAACAGCGAGTTCAGTAGACTGCACAAAGCAGATTGCCCTCCCTGAAGTGGGTGGGCCGCCTCCCAGCAGCTGAGGGCCTGAAAGACCCGTCCTCCCCAGCAGCGGTCCTTCCTGCCTGCCTGGCTTCCAACGGGGACGTCAGCTCATCGCCTGCCTCTGGATTCAAATAGCAACAGCGGCTCTTCCTGGGCCTCAAGCCTGTTTATCTTCAGCGGGGAACCCCCCCCCCCCGCCCCCGGCCTCCCGGTTCTCAGGCCCTCACACGCAGATGGGAACCCAACCACCGGCTCTCTGGGGCCTCCGGCCCGCTGACTCACCCTGCAGATCTTGGGAGTTGCCCGCCTCCATCATCGCATGAGCTAGTTTCTTACAATAAATCTATTTCTATCTCTCCCTGTGTAAACATCCGAGTGGTCCTGTTTCTCTGGAGAACCCTGACTAACACAGAATCAATCCAAACCTCTTTCCCAAGAAGTCCTCCACCCCCCGTTCTCCGCTCAGGCTGCAGAAGCAAACAAGAGCCCAGGCCTAGGGGGCGTGAAGCAGCGAGGCGGCTACCACCTTCCCGAAGGGCCTCCATGCGGTGACGCAGGGCTCCAGGCTGCGTCCGTCTCTCGGTTCTTCCATCCCAGCACAGGGTCCCCACCCGCAAAGAGTGGAAAACTCATGGCCACTCCTAGTGACCTCAGACTGGGAGCGGCACCCCTCAATCCCTCCCACAGCGCTGGGGGCCAGAACTGGCCGCTTGGCCCTTATCAAACTGCAAGGGAGTCTGGGAAATGGAAAATAACCATAAACACTGAGGAGAGCCTTCTCTAGGCCGGGCTGTGTGCTAAGCACTGAAATATCAGTCTTTTTCCCGAATCCACAGCCTAAGTGTGTGAGTGCTACTGTGACCTCGAGGTACAGCCAAGCAAACGGCTGCGGGAAGTGGAGGAAGCCAGACAGCCCGACAGATTCGACCCCAGATCTCCGTGCGTCCAGAACCCCCTCTCCTGACCCCCGCCCCCCGCCCCCAGTCCCAATCACTGCCCAGAATATCTCCATCCCGGTGGAGGGCCAGGATTAGGTTCTTATCTTCTGCTTCATCTTGTTTCATCTTCCCCAGGAGTCATGAATTTTTAAACCTCGTGCAAGATCAACCAGTTCCCCCAGAGGAGACAGTGAAAGAACAGAACAGGCAGAGGCAGGACAGCCATCACATAAACACGCGTTCTTCCAGGAAACGCCGCCCGCCCGCCTGCTGAGGGGGGAAACGCAGGGGAAGCAGTGACGCCAGCGCTGGGCGGTGGGCGGTGGGCGGAGGGGAGAGCGGGCTCAGCCGCCAGGCGGCGGTTCCTTTTACAAAAGATGGAGAGATGGGACTCGGGCCCTTAGACTGGGGCTACTTCTGTTCCTGCAGGTGATGTGCAGTGAGCAGGGCCTCCAGAGCACTTTTTAATGGGGGGGGGGGGTGTCCAGGGGGGTTGAGGAGCCTGGCCCTGCAGCTCTCCTTAAGGAGGCGGACCTTCCTACCGGCCCAAGTCGTCCTGCAGAGAAGCTGGAAACGGGAAAACCCGCAGTGGAGCCGAAGGCATCTGGCCCGTCTGCAGGCTCCTCCCTGGGCCCAGTCTTTTTATTTTCACTGATTTCAGAGAGGAAGGGAGAGGGAGAGAGAGATAGAAACATCGATGATGAGAGAGAATCATGGATCGCTGCCTGCTGCAGGCCCCCCACTGGGGATCGAGCCTGCAACCCGGGCATGTGCCCTTGACCGGGAATCGAACCATGACCTCCTGGTTCATAGGCTGATGCTCAACCATTGAGCCACACCAGCCGGGCTGGACCCAATCTTTACACCCATAATAACCACACCCCTGCCACTCGGCAGTGCCCTGGTACGCCATGTCCCAACTTCAAATTGCTCCACCGCAGGGGCACCTCGGGGCCCCTGGGATGCAGGTGGTCGCACAGTGGGGGCACCTGGTCTGGGGGAGGTCTGCAGGTGGCCTCAGAGGAATCTGGGCTCGGAAGCAGTGTTCCCGTTGGCAGAATGAGGGGCTTGGTGAGCTGTTTCATGGACCCCGTGGCCTCTGTGGACACGCCTGAGGGTCTGGCTGGGAGAGACTGCCCGTGAGGGCCCAGAGGCCCCGGAGGGCCAGGCCACACTCCCCTGTAACAAGGCAGAGGGGCCGGGGCCGGAAAGAGGGTGGGCTGGGGGTCCTGCTGCCTCACGGATGAGGTGGGGGGAGGAGTAGGTGGGGGACAGCCATCATTTCAATATCCATTTGAAGAGAGAGATCCAAGGCTTGAGCCCAAACCAGCAACACATCTCCCACTACAAACACATCAGCCGGACCCCCTATTCCGGACCCGCCCCTGCTTTTCACAGGCAGCGGGACCAGAGAGGGGCGGTTACTAAAGGCACGTCACACAGCCCTGTTTGTCGCAGAGCCAGACCTCAAACCCACGCTTTAGAAGAGGCTTAGGAAGGAGCAGGGATGTGACCGGGGCTCACCCTAGACATCAGCACCTCTGCCTCTTCCTCTTCCTCTCCCGGCTGAAGGCTCAGGGGGCTCAGCCCAGGCCTTCCCTGAGGCCACACCTGATCCTGTACCCCTCCCCCCTCGCCCCCCCCCAGCACCCCTTGTCTCAGGGCCCAGGAAACAGCACCCTTTGGGCCTGGCCGCAGGCCTCCAGCACAGGGACTTGAACCGTATCATAGGACCCAGCAACGCCTCTTCTGGATACACACCCCAAAGAACTGAAAGCAGGGACGCAAAGAGATACTTGAACCCCATGTTCGGCCCCGGAAACGCTGCCTTCTCAATCTTACTGCGCAGGCCTGGACCGAGGTCACCCATCTAGCCAGGGCAGTCTGTCCCTTCGGAACCACGTGGCGTGGAGCGCACGGCCACAGGCTCAGCACTTCCCAGAGGATCTGCCCCGCAACCCCAGAGCCAAAGCTGCCTCCACCCATTCGCGTTCGCGTCTGGGGCAAGGTAGTCGCTGGGCTCCCTCCTCCTGCAGCCCCAGCCACAGGAAGGCAGCGCCTCTCCTGCAGTTCCAGCTTGTGGCCGCTGGGTGGCACCACACAGCAGAGAACCACAGCTGCCGGCCCTGATGGGCGTTGGGGCCGGGAGGGCCTCCGCCTGGGGAATTCCTGCCCAAGTCTCTCTGGGCTCCGGCCCAGGTGGTCCCCAGCGGCTCAGAGCTTCCCTCCAGGCGCTAGAGGCAGTGGTCGGCAAACTGCGGCTCGGCAAACCACGGCTTGCGAGCCACATGCGGCTCTTTGGCCCCTTGAGTGTGGCTCTTCCACAAAATACCGACTTCTGCACATGGGCCATGAAGTTTCAATCGCACTGTACGTGCGTGCCCGGACGTGGTATTTTGTGGAAGAGCCACACTCAAGGGGCCAAAGAGCCGCATGTGGCTCGCGAGCTGCGGTTTGCCGACCACGGCGCTAGGGGAGCATTTCAAACGCTTCACCCCCTGCTAAAAGGCACCCTGGGCACAGGCCCCTGCAGGCTGCCTTCCCCAGCTGCGCCCTCGCCCCTCGGTGCCCAGCCTCGGGGGACAGTCACCCCTGCTCCACGCAGGCCGGGCACTGCCCACCTTGGTCCTGCGGGCCTTCCACATGGAGGCCGCCCCTCACCTCCGCCGGGTGCAGGCCTGCTGCAGAGGGCATTTCAGATCCCCCCCAGCCCTGCGGGTGGGCGCTGTGTTCCTCCCCTCCAGGGGCCGACCCAGGGTCAGGGAGGCAAGGGGGAGCCGCCAGCTGTGGAGCGGCAAGCGGCTCCTGAGCTCGGCCTCTCAGGCTCTTGCGTTGGACTTCATCACACTCCTGGGTCTGAGGCCCTGGCTCGCCGAGGGCAGGGCCCTGTGGAATGCCTGCTTGTAACTTTCCGGCCCCAACCTTTGCCAAGGCCTCTTCCTAACTCTAAGATGGCACCTACCATCTAAGTGTGCCAGACACTGGGCTAAGTGCTTTAGGCGTACCACAACCCCATGGGTAGCTACCAATAGTGCCCCCACTTTCCAGAAGGGGAAACTGAGGCATGCAGAGCAGGCACCGAGTCTGACAGCTATAAGGGGGGTGGGGCGGGCAGGGCTCAGGCCAGCTGGCTTCAGAGTCTGAGTTCTTGCTTGTGATCAGCACTTCTCTACAGACACTTCGAGGAACCCATTCCTTCCCTTCGCCGGGGGAGCCCCCCCCCCACCACCCATGGCACCTTCTCTTGCGTTTCATGGGTGGGGCTTACGTAAGCCTCGGCCATTGGACTGGGAGCTCCTCGCTGGAGGGCAGGGCTGTGCGCCTTCGCTTCTGCCTGCCACACCTCCCGGGGCCCTGGGCCCCACTGAGTCCGGGGTCCCTCTGTGGGGTCAGATGTAGACACTGGCACCCTCCCTGGCAGGCCCAGTCGCCTCGGGGTGAGTGCAGCCCCCAACTCCCCTGCATTCACACCTCACCCTCTCCTGAGGGCAGGGCTGCTCACACCCAGCATGAGAGCAGGTGAAACCTCCAGGGAGTTTACAAGCTGACTGTGGAACTCAGCCACTGTTAACAAGGAAAACCTGGCCCCGTGAACAATGAAGGGGGCCCGGGCCAGTTTGCTCAGTGGCTAGAACGTCGGCCAGCGGATTCTGGTCAGGGGCACATGCCCGGGTTGCGGGCTCGATCCCCAGTAGGAAGCGTGCAGGAGGCAGCCGATCCATGATTCTCTCATCACTGAGGTTTCTCTCTCTCCCTCTCCCTTCCTCTCTGAAATCAATACATTTTAAAATGAAGGTAATAAGTACTTCAAAGTCATCGCCTGCTGATGGAACTACTAACCTTGAGACGACTTCCGGCCACGGCCTCCGTGTGCTGGACACACTGTAGCTCAGTGGGCTCCTGACCTCGTCCTCCCGGCTCCCAGCTCAGCGACATTGCCTTGGAGTTTGAAAGCAGTCACGACAGGAGTCGTTATGCCCCGGAAATTGGCAAATGTTACAGATCAGGACTCCCACCCCACCTCCCCAGAGATCCAGTGCTAAGCATTTACAAGCCCTAAAGCGGCCAGCGCCGGGTGGGGGGCGGGGGGGAGGGAAGGGGGGGCAAGTGGGCCCTCCCAGCGGGGCAGGGGCCTCAGACTCGGCCCTGCCTCCGCCAGCTGTGAGGCCGGGCAATTCGTCCTCAGGCCTCAC